TTCCTGAAACTTGCAGGGGAAAGCTGCAGAAGGTGTGTGTGAGTGACAAGAACTTCCTCACCTCTCTTTAGTTGAAGTGTTTTAGCCCGATGCTATCGGTCTAAAGGAAAGATATGAGGCAGAGAGATAAACCATCCAGCACTGGCGCTCTGATAAGAAGCTTCACATGCTGAGATCAGAGGCTGCTGCTTCTTCACCTGACGCTGCTCGACCTAGCACACACACACACACACACACACACACACGCAGGTTATTTCTTTGTGAGGACCCTTGTTCAAATGATGCATCACCTCGCCTTAAGCATCACAGCTAAACTCCAACGTAATACCAACCTTAACCCTAAAGCCAGCTCTTAACCCGCAGACATCCCTTTGGATTTTGTGAGTTCCAACTAAAATGTCCTCAAAATACAAGAGTGGTGTGACACCCAGATCGGTCCTGACAGAGATAGCTAAGCGAGCACACACACACACACACACACACACACACACGCAGGTTATTTCTTTGTGAGGACCCTTGTTCAAATGATGCATCACCACCTTATGTGCGAGCTTTAAGCATCACAGCTAAACTCCAACGTAATGCCAACCTTAACCCTAAAGCCAGCTCTTAACCTGCAGACATCCCTTTGGATTTTGTGAGTTCCAACTAAAATGTCCTCAAAATACAAGAGTGGTGTGACAGCCAGATCGGTCCTAACAGAGACAGATAAGCGAGCACACACACACACACACACACAAGCAGACTTGCCGTCTCTCGCTACTCATTCATTCACCAACACGCTCGCTCACATTTCTCTCATTAGCTAAATGTCTTCACTAAATGGATGTAATTGGTAGTTGAGCTGAATAAGTGACATTTCATAATTAGGATGTAGAATATCATGTTGAGATATCCATCGACGTGCCACAGTGTGTGTGTGTGTGTTCGATGCCGTGTGTGTGCCTTCTCTGTTTCCTGCCTGCATCGATGAGTGCCGTGCACCACTCTGAGGTTTTATAACCTGCATCGAACACATCCTGGCTCAGACTTGGGACCGCCTCGCTCCCGTTTGTCGTTTTTTTGCACCTACTTGTCACGCCGGCTGACAGCCGCATGCACTCGCCGAATTCATTTGGACAGCAAACGGCGAGGTGACACTCACCTGTTGGTCCGTTAGCTCCTCCTCGGCCCGGCAGGGTGTTATGTGCCTGCAGCGGTCCTCTCTGTTCTGTAAGCAGTGAGTAGGAGAGCATCACTGTCCTCTCCTACGCTTCGACCTTCCTATGGAACAGGGGCAGGGCAAAGAGGGCAACAATGGATGTTCATATCCTTTCCCCACATCTTTACCCCTTACCTTCTCTGAGCCTCTGAATTTAGGGGGAAAAAAATCTACAATGTCTTAGATGTCACCATGACTCCTCCTCATCCCTGATATTTCTCTCCTCTGTGGTCGCCGTGTGGGCTGTGGGATTATGCTGCACTGTGGCCATGACTTTGATTTTCTTGCCCTCATCATTAGTCACCTCTTATGTAGGAACTGAAGTTTGTTCTGTTACAGGCGCTGTGGCTCAGAGTGTGAATGCATTAGTCACTTTTTTCATACCAGTTTGTGAACTCATGACATCATACTTTGGAGGTCCCATATGTTTTGTAAATCTCAAAAATTCCGAGGTGTAAAATGATACGAGGACGCCTCCTGCTGCCGGCGTTCTCAACTAGGCGGTCTCCCAACTTCACAAGCCGATCTGGATTTTGTCCGTGGCGGGCACAGAGGGAGTCTTCTTCCTGAAGGCGTCGGGGGCAGCGGAAACTCTGCTTCCATTTAAAACAACGTACACTGAAACAGGCTATTTAGACCAGAGCTAAAACCAGGGGTTACACAGTCATGAAATGAACCATCTAAGCAGTGGTTTCAGAATCCTTTAATGTTAATATACGTAAAAACAACATTGGATCCGATCCCCTTCAGCGCAAGATAAAGACGTTTGTAGAGCCTAGAGATGTATATAAAGAAATAAATGGTACAAAATGGATATAAAATGCGAGTATTTACAACAGCAGCGAGGTACCTGAGACATGCTTGTGGTAGATTCCACCTGAGTACATGTGACTTACTGCAAACTGAGAGCACACTTGGGAATGGATCGTATCAGTGTTGGTGGGAGTTCAGGGTGGTCATGGCTCTGGGGAAAAAACTGTTAGTCTGTTGGTTCTTGACCTGATGCACCTGTAGCACCCAACAAATTGAAGGACATGTTCTGGAAACATGTGACACCTTCAATAATTTACTGAAAATGGGCACAATGTGGGACCTTTAAAAAAGAAAGAAACCTTTCACATCAACAGCCAGTGAAAGAGTTTCTATGTGAAGAACCTGGGATGGACTTTCAGGGGAAATCCAAACATATATGTTCACGTCCAAGTGTTTTTTTCTCTGTGCCTCCAACCCACTGCCCTACAGGGCCAAACGTTAGCTTAGAAACACAAACTCCACACATGCACAAAAAACAAAAAAGGCTTTATCAAGTCAGCTTCGTGTGGCCAAACAGACATGTGACCCACCATGGGGGCAAACGGGTCAATATCAACAGGCTGTTTGATTCATGGAGGGACTAAACTGTGGAAAAAAACAACAGAAGCCTAGTCTTGTGTAGCCAGACCCTCCTCCACACTTCATGTTAGCGCTGTGGAGAGACAAATGTCATCTATAGTCTCAAATACAGTTTGCTGTCAGACTGTGATACCAGTAAAACTCGAGTTATCTCTTCCATCAGCTTCATGCAGATAAATCATGTTCAGTGTCTGGTTGTCCCGTTGGTGTTTTTGGCCGATGACCAGGATGTACGCTAGTCATCGGTGTCATCACTGACTGTCTGAACGCCACTCAGAGAATCTTTTCAAGGATAAGTCCATTTTTCATCTGTTTGGGTCTCATTTTTACGAGTCGGGTGATGTGAGGACGCTGCTAAAAACACAAGCGTCCTGGCAGGCGTGCAGGTTTTGGACAAACCCGCAGGTTGATCACAGTGTTGTGAAAGAGAAGAAAGCGTAGGGTTAGTTAAATTATCACCCAAAGGATCGATAAAATTCCTGTGTAATGAAAGGTTAGCTTTACATCCTACCTCTAAGTGGATGTTGCTGGTTTATTTAACGCCCGTCTTATTGGGACTGCTCGTTGGACATTTCTGTGGCCATGATGTCGTCCTGAGCAACAAACATTACAGCCGAAGCTCAGTGGTAATAAACCAGTAACCTTCTGTTAAATGCTTAAATTAGCTGGTATTTAATCAGTGGATGAAGGCTAAATGGATAACTGTGAACGAGGCAATAGCTAAAAACACGTGCCAACTTCCAGACTGCATTTTTAGATGAGTTCTCAGGGAAAATCGACTTCGCTGCTTTATCGCACAAAAGGAGGCCGAGTAAGACCTTGGACTTGCACGGGGAGAGAGAAAGCTGTCAGAGCTCCTGACTGGTGGATAACGCAGCCATTCTGAAGCGATAATGAGAAAAAAAACTTTTCTTCTGGGGGAGAAAAAAAAAGCCTCCAACACATGGCTAATGTTGAACATTCATATCCAGAATCAGAGGTGTGAGATGAAGCTGCTCAGCTGTTTACCGACACTCCAAAGTGTTGCATGCAGATTTAATGTGGCGGCACATTTTACTACATCCCCCTGTAGTTCTCCGTAAATCTAGTCAGCAGAAGAAGACGACCACGCTCCTCTGGTGGTGTTGGTCTGTTGTGTTCAGGATGTTTTGGTGCGTGTTTGATCGGCTGCTACAGTTTCTCCCTGGTGCTGTTAATCCAGCGTCTGCTCGGGTTACTGAGCTCCTCTCACGGGACGCTCATCTGTTGTTCTCACTGAGATCGTACTGTATGGTTTGTTTCAATGCCTCTTGTTACAGCTCCTTTCTCTTTATTTGCACATTTCCAGTTTAATCTACGCCCTCTCGCCAGTCCCTCTGCTGGATGGCTCGTTGTTTTGTCGTTCTCTCCGTCTCCGTCCGTCCTCTTAGAGTTTTATTATCTCCCTCTTACGCTCTCCGGTCGCCTGTCTCTCTCCCAGAGTGCTGCTCACCAAGTCTTGGCTCCTGATATTGTTTGTTAACGCCGATACTCAGGTGGCAGCTCCTCCACTACGCTGACAGTCTGTGTGGGAAGTTCTGATCCAGCTGTGCTGCTGGACTGCAGGAGATCGGACCGGGGGAGCTGCTTCTTTCTGGGATTTTGTACTTTGTTTATTTCATTAAGACAAAAGGGTGGCTTTGTTCTCCCTTGTTTGTTTCAGGTTCCAGGTTAGCGTTTGACTCTGTGCTGTCATGTGTGGCTGACGTGGCTGATGATACCAGAACAGGACGGCTTCCATCCAGTGCATCCATTCGTCACTCCCTCATGTATAATTCAGACTTGGTTGCAATGTTCTGGATTTCTTTCCAGGACTTTCTGCTCACCAGATTGAAGCATCGGTGTGGTTGTTTTTTCCCTCTTCCCCCTAAGTAGCAGTTTCTCCAACCTGGTTTTTTCGGAAGGCTTCAGCTACGCGGCATCGATTTTTCTTCTGTTATTCTTCTGCCCTCCGAAAATGTCAGATATCCTCGAATGAAAGAGGGGGCAATCATTTCCACTGCCTCGGAGAGACAGCCGTAGCCTCACCTAGCCTAGCTTAGCTTAGTCATCATGTGGGTTTACTTTAGGGGGAATCGAAACGAACCAATCGGAGCGACGGAGCCCGGGGGAGTGATCAGTGGCTTCTGATAGCTCTGTGATGTTGATGGTGACTATCTGAGTGATGATGCCAACGTCGATTTGAGGATAATGATGAGATGGAAGCAGATGGTGATTATTGTGTTCAGCGTTGACATGAAACAGACAGAGAGGATATTCGTGTGTTTATCCAACGTACAGCCAAAGAGAAACGAGCATCACTCTTCAAATGCTTCTTCATCTATCTGCGTTAATGATGCTTTGCAGACTGCAGGTCCTCATTCCATCCTCTGTTCTGTGTCTTCTCCAGTGTCTCTTCAGGACATCACCATGAGGAAGGCCTTCAGGAGTTCCACTACTCAGGACCAGCAGCTGTTTGACCGCACGTCTCTGCCCGTCCCGCTGCAGGAGACCTTCCACACCTGCGAGCAGCCGCCGCCTCTCAACATCCTCACACCGTACAGGTCAGAGTCCAGCCGGCTTCATCGCCTCCGCCGTGTTGTGCAAAAAAAGCACCACAGAAAAAAAAAAAAAAAGATCTCAGTCAGTCTCAATGGTGTGTGAGTGTTGTGGTGCGAATGGGAACGAATAAATCAAATGCATTTAACCTGGTGTTTTAGAAGTGGAATGGATCACAGAGGAAAAA